ATATAATGGTTATTTAATTCTAGATTTAAATAGTAGCTAAAAATAGCGTCCTTAAACGTTTGTCAAATTATATCATGTATTCCATGGTATCCTATTGGAAAATATAGACAATTTTCTAGTTAAATTCCCGTATCGATTTGTCGTCGAGGACGTTAAAGAAAATATATTATTTAATATTTATTACTGAATACTGCAGGCTGAAACAAGAATAGATAAATACATATTTTTCAATATGAAGTGAACAAAATTATAAAGTATTAGCTATAATAACTTAAAATTAAAATAACAACAAATTAAGAAAGAAGAAAAACCTATACTATATTATAGGTAGTTGTTGGAAACTATTGTAACTGTACAATGCACAGGACATAAATCTCATTCTACTAGCGCCATTGATGATGTTATAAGGTTGTTTTACCGACCACGAAATGACATTTTATGACCAATTTAAAAACTTTGCGTTGTATACAAACTCAGTAGGTAGTAAATAGAATGGATCAGCATGTCGAGTGATTAATCACGAAGATTTCATCGCCGCTAACGAACGTCTTACGTCGCAATCTTTATTATTATTGCAATTCGCAGTTCTCGCCGTCATTATAATAATCATAATAATATTCTAGAAGTTAAATGAAAGTTTGCTAATTTCAGATATTGTGTTTCACGAAAAACATGTCGCTTTTTCCGTATTGCGATTTTTGGACTCATATATTTTCTAATTTACTAAGTGCTATAAGCGCGAGTCTTACGGTGGCCGTTAGGGGTTCACGCTGAGAGGGGGGGGGGACAAAAAATTACAAATTACTCTCGGTACATCTGTCATGTACGTAATATTATATACGCCTCTAAAGCCGTCTCTCTTATTTTCACTCTCACCCCTCTCTGTCTTTCTCTATCTCTTCCCACCACCACCCCGTTACTCTATCACTCACTCGTCTCACTCCCCGGAGGAGGTCGCCGCTTTATTCCATTTGACACACACATGGCAGTTGCCGCCGTCGTGAGCCTTTACCGATTTCGGTAAATCTCCCTTTTATTTCTATATATATATTTTTTATTTTTTATTTTTACTCCGTCTCTCTTTCCTTCACTCACTGCTCTCTCACTCTCCCTCTACCTCTATCTCTCTCTCACTCCGTCTCTCCCGGTTTGATGCATATATATATTTTTTTTTCATATAATACGGTTTGGATGCTTACGCACGCGAGCGGCGGCGACCGGTCCCCGGTGGGAACCGCCGCTGTAGCCGCCGAACCGCGCGCGCTGCCCCGGAGGCCGAACGAAACGGGGCCTGCCCGCCGCCGCCATAAATCTTCGTCACTTTTGACGCGCAACGTCTCTCCTCTCTCTCCCCCGGCCCACCACCGTCTCTCTTCCTGTGCAGCCCACCCCCCCCCCCCGGTCCGTCCGCAGCGTCAACCGTCCGACCTTCCACCGTTCCGCCCAGTCTTGTTCCCGGCGGTGACCCCACGACTTTCTTGTTTTCGGCACACACACACATGCTCACGTCCAAGGACTACAGGTCCCTATGTGTGTGTGTATAGCCGACGGCTGCACGAAAACGTCGAGCCCGTCCAAATAATCTGCTTTATAATACGGTGCAGCAGTATCCTCTCCCTCACCTTGCACCCCCGCCACAGTTCCCCTTTTGGATCTAAGTCTATCCCCCGTTTTTAAGTCCGACGGCGGCTGAGTCGGTAGGTACTCCACTCGCGTGTGCATTGAATGCCTATGTATATATATGTGTGTGTGTGTGTGTGTGTGTGTGTGTGTGTGTGTGTACACGTGCGGGCCGGGCGCGCTATTAATACGTGTCCTCTTGACGCGTTGCAGCTCACGACGAAATCCTTATACATACATACATATACACGTATATAGAATGTAGGTATAATGTATTATTATGTACTGCGATAGCGTCACTCGGTTGTGTGTGTGTATGGGATTATATACGAGTATACTTAAGTCCGCGCGATCAGTCTGTGCGTGCACACGGTTCAACGGACTTCCGCGCTTAATACCTAATACATATAACGTTGTTATGAAACCGGAAACGCGACGAATAGACTCCGAACCGCTTATTATTGGACTCGCGTACATTACACAGTCGAACTTAGATTTGTGCACTCTTGTCCCCTCTTGCAACTCGCAAGTGTACCCACGAGTATCATCGCGATGCCTATAACCTAGGTGTTCGATGACGACATTCTGAAGTTTTTAAATCCAATACCTACACTCTGTCGTTTTGCCCATCGTGTCTCGCAATACTGCAAAAGATATAGTATCTTAAACACCTATTTCCGACCAATACATTATAATAGCTGTCAGCAGTAGATTTTCATTATATATAAATCAGAGTACAACTATTATGCAGTGTCCTGATGCCGTGCTCGTTCACAATTATGTTCGATTTGTTTTATACAATCGTCAGTAAACGATTCTTATCGCGCAATATATTCTTTTTTTAGACGATATCTCAATAATTAATCGCACATTTGTTTAAGTGATAATTAAGACATATTAGAAATGCCACACCGCGGTAGTTGATTTTTACGTTTCCGTTATTCATGTATACCTAGGTATAATAAATGCATTATACTATATAGGTACAATATTATATGTTTATATATACCTAGTAACAAACGAGAAATACCCTCCGACTTGGGATACACAGGGTACACACATAAGTATAATCTACGCAACACAATAATGCGCAGTGTTATACGCACGCTATACAGAGGAAAAGCGATTAATTAAAAACGCTCGTCGATCGTTTCCATTGGCTGCGCGGTTGTGTACAACCGTCGACATTGTTCCCCCTCGCGTTCTCCGATTCCTATATACACAGTAGGTAATACACATATATATAAATCGTAACGACTTCGGTTGATCGGTCGGCTGCAGTGGCCGTAAATGCGTCTTCACGGCGATTTCCTTCCCCCACATCAAAAACTCGTTAAGGTCTTTGTGCGCGCGCGAAAAGAAAGTCTCAATAAAAGTTTTTTCGTTGAAATTTTCACGAGGTTAATCGATCCCTCCGCCGGCGCCGAAACCAGTACCCGCCTATAAATATATATATAAATAATAACCAAAAGGCTTATTATTACTGTGGCCGGACCTAATCGCCCATTGTAGTACGGTCGACGGTCGTACATTATAATATCTTATATTATTATACTGATGTGTACGTAGGTTAGTCGTGCGTTTATATGTGTCACACGCCTTTCTCCGTTTAATGCGCGCGTATTTCAGTGGTAGAAAAGGGTTAAAACGAGCGAAAAACGTTCGATTCGAACTGAGAACCGCACCGAAAAAGCACTGTCAGTTTGCTTCTAATATTTTAATACCACGCCTGTATACAACAATATGAAATGTTATAACTCATAATAATAAATAATCGAAATGTATATGCTATTATATCATACTTGCAGCAGTATAGATCCCATCGGGACGGCTGTGGGAATAACACACATAGTTTTGTATATATATTATAATATAGTGGGAGTTTATTGTTATAAATACTTTGCATGATTTTAATTAATTAGAAAAATTACGATTTACTACTGTTTGCTTGCATGTTTTATATTATTTATACTATTATTTGTGCTGTGAATTTAATGCACAAAGCAACTGTTGAATAAGCTTTAAAATATTTAAGTTCAAAATACCTATTGGTGGATGTTTTTTTTAACGCAAATAAAAAATACAAATGAATATAATCATCATAAAGAAATTATAAATAATCCTGAGTATAAAAGTTTAAATAATATATAAGCAATTAATTCAACTGTTCTAGAAAATAAAGCATCATTTTTGTTAACCTGGCAGTTATTATAGGAGACTATTAAAATTTGAAAAATATGAAGAGTTAAATCATTTGTGTCTAAAAGTGATTTTTAAACAAATCATGATCGAACTAGGTTCCTTTATTCTAAAGAAACGAAAATATTCAAAATATGTATCAAATTCACAGCTCTGGTTATTATTATTACATACCCGTCGCACCCGCTTATAGGTACCTACGACAATATTCTCAAGTGGTGCTTACTCTACTGAAATAGGTTATTGTTTTATATAAATTCATAAATTTTTTTTTTTAAATTGATCTTGAGCTTCGGCGACATTAGCTTTATAAATTACTTTCTATATTGATATTTTACATTTTTCTTATTTTCTAAGGTTTAATTAGTTTACAATATTAAAAGGGGAGTTTTGGAACTTATAGATAATTTTTTTTTTTTTTAAATGCTTTTATCGATTTTGATGCTTTTGAGGAATAAATTCATAAATGTAGCTTAAAGTTTCCACAGAAAAAAAAATACTCGGATAATAGAATTAATAATGATATAATATGTATATGTATTGTATATTATATATTTATATTCGCACATCTAGCAGCAAAGTTTTGTCTTTGAATCTCTGAAAATCGAAAAAAAAATAATTGTAACCATTCTGATGATTTCTAATGTCCCATATATTAGCTCTTCTTATGTTGTTAATAAACGGATTTAGCACCACTATATATTTAATAAATTGTCGTACTTGCTCGAGCGTACAAAATACGCGTTATTGGTACATAATAATGTGAAATATTAATGCGTTTAATGGCTTGTATATCATATATACGCTTACACGTATCAGCTAACTTGCACCGAAGTCCACGATTTAATTATAACATTATATTATTATATACATTTATGCAATTCGTCGGGTCGTCGGCGCTGCTACTGATTAGTATACGTTCGGGGGTTGGGGGAGGTGGTGTGGTTAACCCCTACTCAGTTGTATGCGGATAACAAAAATATGATAACATAATTCTATGCTTTCTCCCTCCCCGTCGATATCCAGCAGCATCCGAGAAAAATCTCGTATTACACAATATCGCTGTACACGTATAGTCATACAAAGATAGATAATATATTATCAACTGTCCCCGAGTGCGCGTCATCGGGGGCCGTCTGCTCAGACTTATCGTGGTTGTCATTGCAAACGTTATGTTTCAGAGCGGAAACGCGGCCGGCAGACTTATACCAGGTACCAGACGCTGGAGCTGGAAAAGGAGTTTCACTTCAACCGGTACCTGACCCGGAGGCGGCGGATCGAGATCGCTCACGCGCTGTGCCTGACCGAGAGGCAGATAAAGATATGGTTCCAGAACAGGCGGATGAAGTGGAAAAAAGAGAACAAGACCAAGGGCGGCGACGGTCAGGGTGGCGACGGTAGCGATATCACGCCGCAGACATCGCCGCAGTGATAACGCCGCCGCGACTTCGCTCGTCATTATTTAATATTATTATTATTATTATTATTATTATTGATATTATTATTATTATTATTATGATTATGATTATGATTATTACTGTTGTTGTACATGTACTCGCGATCGCGTGTGTGTGTAGAAGTGAAACGGTCCACAGTTTTCCGAGTGTTGTGCGTGAGTGCGCGTGTTGCAGAGTGTCGTATTTTGGGCGCGCGCACCTCCGGTTTTGCGTGTTTGTGTTTGAGTGTGAGTGGTGCGCGCGCGCGCCCGTCCGTCGAGCGAAATGTCACGTATGCAGGACGACGACGGAGGGTTGTGACATTTTTCGCGTTTACTTAAAACAAACAGAGAAACAAATTTCGAAATGATAATAATAATTATATATACACTGGTCGCTCTGTATAGCATAAAGTATAATATTATAACTATTGGTCAACCCGTATTGTAATATTGTCACTGCGATTACATGGCGATTTAGATGGTAACAATAATATTTTTTTAAACAATAATCTTCTTATTGCATATTACATTGAAAATACAAAATAAAAAAACATTCAAAATTTTTTTTTGACACTTCGTTCTGGGTATATAAGTACACAATGGTATTATCTACGCATCGAACGTATTTTAAAATAATTTTTTTAATTTTTTCAAAAAGAAGAAAATGTCTTACTATCAATTTTTATCATAATATACTGACGGCAATACTATATAATATATAATTACGCGTAAAATTTTCCCTCGCTTAGGAAACTTATTCTAAGATTGTGTCTAAGTCATTATGTCGTAGGTTTTTTTTAGTTCTCGTTTAAGTTTTATTTAGTTCTAAGCAAACAAATAATAACGATAGCAATGACGACGTAATAATAATTTTTTAAAAATCCAAAGAAAAATGACATGCCTTTAACGCTCGCTGGTCAACCACGACGTAGTTTCAACTACTCAAGCCCACCCACACCCACTCACTCACACACATATTTATGCATAAATATATAATATGTGTATACGTTTTATTATATCGGATACACAATTATGATAAAAATACACTAAGTAATATATTATTATTAGGTATATCGTAATTATTAAAAAAAAAATATTTTTGTTACGAGCGAATCGTCGGGCAGTCGATGATATGCGCTCGGGATCTCAAAACCAGCTCAAATAACACGTCCTCGATAATAATAATAATAATAATAATAATGTACATCCAACACACTTGTCTTATCTTAATACATACGTGTCGTACATAATATATACCTAGAGATTTTGTGTATCATATTATAATATTAAGTTGTATATTATAATATAATAATATGTGTGTGCGTGTTTGTTTGTGTGTGTGTGAGTGATTGTGATTATGTCTATATGTATATGTATACATATATTTCGGTTTCAAATTCCAGGACCAGTTGTTGTCTGTTTGTTTTTATTTCTTATTCAACTTATAGTGCCATTAGGAATTAGACTGGCACCGCGATTCGCGTCCGATTCATACGGTGGTGGTGTGATCTATTTTTTTGCGATCACCGCGGTATTTGACACGATTATATAATAATTGAATAATAATATTATAGGAATATTTCTTATGCGTGCGCCGCCGCCAATTGTTTCTGGCTGTTGATGGACTTCAATATGGTCTTAATAAGATCACTATAATAACTATAACATGCGTATAACATCTTGTTTTATGCCATATATTATATACCTATTTAATATTTTATATAGGTGGATAGGTACTTGTTGTCTCGGCCGTGACCTTCGGTCACATATACAAATACAGCATACAACCACTGTCACTGCGGTAGTTGATGTTTTTTAAATAACAAAATATGCATAAATATACAATATTATTATAACGTCAGTTTTTTTTCGTTCACATACCTACTGAATAACGTGGAATGGGACCAGGAAAATCGTGCTCGCGCGATCGGACGTGAAATTGCGGTGAAAATAACAATGATAATAATATTAAATATTTATTATATTGTTGTAACAATATAAATGCTAACGTACCAAAGGTGGTATTTGCGTATACTTTTGTTTTTGTTTTTTATTTTATTTATTTATTTTCGTTTTAATTTTTAATTTTTCGTGTATGAGAGAAAATATATAATGAGAGGAAAAATAACGCGTGACTCAAGTACATACATATATATTAAGTAATTATATACGATTATTATACATAAACTATTTGAATGTGTACATATATATATATATATAAATTAAAATGATATGTTTAGACTTTGTATATTGTAATAAGGTAAAAAAAAAATGTTTATATATTAATTAGAGATCGGTCCATGCCACTACTTGTTTACTTGTTTTCTCACACAAACTATATATATATTTTTTTTTTTCGAATACACAATAACACTATACTTACTATCGTTTACGGTATACACTCCGTGAATCATTTTCGAAAAATGAAAAGAAATCTTTATGTGCAATTTTGTTGGCTCCGCGAATCAGCTGTTTCCGTAAACATGGGTACGCAGAACAACAATTATAATTATAATTATTATTATTATAACACATGTGTTATGCCCTCACGTAAGCGGAAACTATTGATTGTCAGCCCGTTTCATTAATTATAATTATTTTCAATTGCAAATTATTATATTTCTCTTGTACATACATCATAGGTATGCATTCTATTGAATATATTATATAAAATATATAAAAAAAACATTTATAGGAAAAGTGTTTTTTTCAAAATTGAAAATCGTTGCGATTTATTTGACACTATTTCCTCGTAATATTGTACAGTTCAGAGAGATTTTATTTATATATATAAAACAATAATTTTAATGTATACAATTTTATTATATTATATAGAAAAAGCGTGCGTGTGCTGGTAGATTCTTCATTTTATTAACCAATTTGTTTTTTCGTTTTTAATTTTATCATTATTATTATTATTATTTTTTGTAAAAAGAATTTTTGTATAAAAAATTATTTATTCTGCAAAGCCTGGCAAGGATTACCTCTAATTTATTTTTACATGCTAGGTAAAACAGTGTAAAAATGAAAAACGACATATATACGTAATTAATAAGTCTTGTTTATTTTTTTGAGTCGTGATAAATAACAATAATGTTGAGTACTTATATTGTAATACCAAAAAAGATAAAATAACATAATTTGAAAAAAATCAACGTTGACACATTTTTTAATTTATCGACATTATTTAATTAATATTTTTAATATTTTTTCCGATTCAAAAAAAAAAAAATATATATATACATGTAATAAACGGTCAGTACAATGAATATTAAGATAACTGAGTGTTGTTATGCGGCATTCACTATAAGTTCCTCCTAAAATATTAGAATTAGTGTTCGTTACATTTTTAGATTAATTAAGTAGAATTTTATGTTAATTAATTAAAAAGAAAAATGAACGTTTTTTTTTTAATAAACAAAAACATGAAAAAAAACAAACAAATCTTCATACGCTATACCTATTTGTACATAATTGTCATATTTTATGTATACTTGTTTTACCTATGTATATATGTGTATTACAGTGCACATATTATAATATACTCATCATACTGTGGGCACACGATTGTGATCTACGCATATTATATTATTATTATTATTATTATTATTATTATCATCGTCATCGTGAATCCAATTATTTGATGATATTATGAAATATTTACATTGTTCCTCACTTTACGGTGGCTGCACTTTCGGCTGGCCGACGGCTGGCGATCCGATGTCGTGGACATTCTATATTTATAATGTCACTGCGGACTCACCGGCGCGATGTCTGCCGCTTTCGACGAAAAAAAAAAAACAAAAAAAGTATATATTATAATACAATAATAATATTAATAATAATAATGCAATGCGTAGTGCGCAACGTGTGTGCGCGCTCGTTTGGTATACGGCCAAATTGTGGCAGTTGTGTATTATATAATAATATGTTTAATGAATATATAATACGCACTGGCTGTAACCGAACTCCGGAACGCATAATTATAATTAAAAACAAACCTCTTCGGCAGGCCGCGACGAAAAATCGTGTCTGCGGAGACGAAGGCGAGAGAAGAAAAAAACGTCGCACACGATTATTGTGCCTGTGTGTGTGTAGAGCATACGATAAAGGGAAACTATTCGACTGCGCATTATACACATTATCATATGTATACCCTGTGAAAAAAACCGACGTGTACGTGTTAATATGTTATAATGAGATGGGACGTGGAGATTTATTCGTGTGCTGCACCCCTCCCGCAACCCCTAACCGCCCACAAGTTCGCTCCCCCGGACCCCCTCAATCTTAGTTCCCTCATCTTCAACGCCCTTCCCTTGTTTTTAGAGACACGAAATCCTGAAAACTCCGAGGTACAAGGGCGAGTTAACTCTACAAGACGTTATGTCATAATATTGGATACTATTATAATAATAATTAATAATTATTGTATTATCATCACGACGTATATCGCGATGGTGCGTCGGGTAAATCGATCGATCTCCGTGCAAGTGTACTCGGGTCGCGTCACGAAAATCGCCAAGATTCGTTGTGCGGATCGCCCGAAATAAAGTGTTTTCAAGTGCGTCTCGGTCCGGTGTTCCGTCAACGGTTTCGAGTCCGTTCATCGCGAGTCACGTGTGCGGTGACGTTGTGCGCGAAAGTTAACGACAGTACTCGCACGAAAAGCGCCTGTTGTCCGTGGATACGCGTTTGCAGCGACTGTATCGCTGCACCATTGCCTGCGACTTTGGCTGCTGCACCTGCTATTGTGACTTTGACTACTGCACCTGTGGATGTGACTTCGGCTGCTGCGCCCAAGGCTGTCATTTTAAAGTCTTCCAGTCCAGGTCCAATGAAACCGGAAGTCTTCGAGTCCGAGTTGGTGAGAGACACTGAGTTATATTATTTACGTTTGCTATTTTAATATTATATGGTATAGGTACAGCGCGTAGCATCATAAGATTATAATACATTATTTAGTCGTAGGGTAGAATGCGTTAATTCTACGGAGTCAGAAACGTTTTTTTTTTTTTTGGGGGGGGGGGGGTAGAGCCTCCCATGATAGCTTCAAGTTTTATATAATATATATGGCGGTGAGAAATGTATGTATCGTCTCTTTATCACTTCCACATCGTCGGCGAAAACCGCGGCGGCTATAACACTATATACAGCCGTACGCCGATGATGAACCCCGCTTCCGCCTCCTTCCTCGCCGTCAACGATGGTGAAGCAGCAGTAGCCGTTCGACGTGAGATATGGAAGTCGGTTAACCACCCCCTACGACTGCCTCCCTCCGCCACTATCAACCTTTACACACCCCCGCTGCGCTGCACCTCTTGCGGATCGCCGGCCACATAAATCAATGGGCTTTTCGCACGAAAAACCCCTCATACTCTGCCAAATAAGTGTATATATATATATTATATACATACACACACTAACACACATCGAGCGAGAGTGTATGCATTTTCACGTGGGTGAACGTGGTTTTCCCGGTCGTCGGGGGATGTAAAAGAGAGAGTGCGAGAGGGAGAGATGGAGAGAAAAAAACTGGATATGATTTTTTCCGTCGTGCAGACGTCAGCGTGTATTCGCTAACGACCCGGCGGCGTATAATATTTCTTTGTTGCTTTTTCTTTGCATTATCGCGATACGTTTTCGTTTTCCTACATTATCCTATCTGACTACACATATACATATTTATACATGTGGCCGTGTGGGAAAACGTGAAAGCCCACGTTCTCGTCGTTCGTCTCGTCTCTGCAGCCTCATAGGTGTATTAGTGGCGAATAGTTTTGTGTTCCACTCACTCATGAAAGAAATGATGAGCGTTCGCAGTTTTCTTGGACTTTGGGAGTTGTGGGTAGGATGTAGGTTACGCCTCTATCTCGCGGTTTCCTATAATTTTATGAACGTGGTGAGTTATAGCATACCAAGGGGCAATGGCTAGTCGAAGCAATAGCATCCTTTTTTAATTTCAGATTTTTATAGTGTTCATAATATACAGTATCTTTCAAGTGTAAAATAAGTTTTTAGTATGTCCAGCATAAATATAATAGTGCGTACAGTCGAGACATAATATAATATAGTGATACATTTAATGTTCAGTTCAACATCGGTTGTGCCGTATATTATCGTCAAAATATACATAGTCATTTGCATTTCAACAAGTGAACTTTACTATATGCACAGGTATACCTCGCCATACCTGCTATAACTTTGCTCACGCACTGGCGTGCGCGCACGTGGATAAGGTTTAAGATTGTGAATATATTATAATATGCGAGATACGCGCCGCGCGTGTCTACCTGCTGCGGGGCTGGTTTTAATCGAAAACTCCGGACGCGGGTCCGTCCGGGGTTTCAACCCCGTCGTCCGCTACGCCGTGGATATTTGCCGCCGCCCCCTCCCCTTAACCCCATAGCCTCGTGTAAAACCGTCCCGCACCACACCGCACTGCCGAAGCTCGTCCTGCGTGTGTAAAAATATATGCATGCTGTACGCGACACGACAGGAGCAGGACGAATTCAATATCTCACGCACAGCAGTCGTGCGGTCTACAACTGCCGCCGCCGAATTGATTAAGGCTATTGCGTGCGCGATGCGCGTGTCGCCGCAAGTTCGCTGTATACACACTGGCATATATTTTATATATATACACACGAGATATTATATATACACACAAACACACTCGTGACATGCATTCTCTCCGACTCTCACACGCATAATAATGCGTGTGTGTGTGCATGTGTCTGTATATTTTAGAGTGTGCCGCGCGTATAATAGGTGCGCGTATATGTGTATACATCAGTAGACGACGGAGGGATG